AAGGTCGTAATGGAGATAATGAAAATATCTGAAGACTGTTATGAAAACGAATGTTAAAGATAAAAATATGACATGAAAACCTGCCTATGAACACATGATTAGAACACTGTTAGATTAGGATTATGATGCAGCAGTGTTATTAAAAAAGAAGCATCTAAAAAGGAATAGCTGCCTGGGGTGAAGCTGGTTATTTAATATAGTAATGATTATTAAGAAAAGAATTGGAGGAAAAGATGCAATCTTCAGAAATCTTTAACTCGATTTTTCTAAAAAATGGACTTTCTCGTCTCTCTCGACTTCAAACAGGTGTAGAGCAGTCCTTTTTTTGTCTGATTCCAACAACTCATATCATTTAATATAAAATAACTAATTTTTGAAAATTTGCTCATTGTGACTTATTTTGCCAGCACTGGTCACTTTTGTTTGTTCTCTGGTCTTTAATAATGTTCTCAAAATGATAGAACCGAAACATTGTTTCTACATTGTTCATGGAAAGTTTTTTTTCAATGTTTTAGTTGGATATTCGTCTAATGTTTTTTTTCTTTAAATGTTGCTACTTTTTCGGAACTCTCAGAGAAAATTCAAAAGTAACGTTCCCATAAATTTTGCAAAATGGAATGTTCCCTTATCGTTCGCATAACCAAGAAAAAGCATTTCTAAAACATTTAAAATACTGGATGCTTTAAATGTTCAGTGAACATTTAGGAAAAAACGTTTTCAAAACTTAATGGAAAGGTTAGCAACGTATTTTTGTTGTTTTGGCAGCTGTGGCATCACCAGCTCTGATTGAAACCGCATGGCTTCCTGCAGTGATGACGGTGATGTCTGGTGTGTTTGAGCTGGTTTCTCATGCGTGTCTCTCCGCAGACGGCGCTGATCTCCCGTCTCACGCGAGTCAGATGAACGGAGTTCTGCGCTTCAGTACAGTGACCCACGCCGATGGAGGGAACTACACGTGTGTGGCGTCCAGCAGCGCACAGGGAGAGATACGAGCGCACGTCCATCTCACTGTAGGAGGTGTGTGTGTTAGATTTGAACGCTGTGGTTGATCATGAGGTCATGTGAGTTGTTCCACACACACTGACACACTCACGTCCGTCTGTGTGTTTTGTCAGTTCACGTGGAGTTTAAGCTGGAGCCGGAGCAGACCACAGTCTATCAGGGTCACACGGCCGTGTTTCACTGCCAGGCGTCAGGTGACCCGCAGCCGTACGTCCAGTGGATGCTCAAAGACAAACTACTCGGCAGCAGCAGCTCCAGCAGGTCTGTCTCTCTGCATCCGTCTGTCTCTCTGAATGTGTCTCACCGCACCTGTCTCACTGCACCTGCATGTCTCACCACACCTGTCTCACTGCATCTGTTTCTCACTGCACCTGTCTGTCTCTCTGCACCTGTCTCACTGAACCGGTCTGTCTTGTCTCACTGCACCTTCCTGTCTCACTGCACCTGTCTGTCTCTCTGCACCTGTCTCACTGAACCGGTCTGTCTTGTCTCACTGCACCTTCCTGTCTCACTGCACCTGTCTGTCTCTCTGCACCTGTCTCACTGAACCGGTCTGTCTTGTCTCACTGCACCTTCCTGTCTCACTGCACCTGTCTGTCTCTCTGCACCTGTCTCACTGAACCGGTCTGTCTTGTCTCACTGCACCTTCCTGTCTCACTGCACCTGTCTGTCTCTCTGCACCTGTCTCACTGAACCTATCTGTCTCACCGCACCTGTCTCACTGCACCTGCCTGTCTCACTGCATCTGTTTCTCACTGCACCTGTCTGTTTGTCTGTCTGTCTCACTGCACCTGTCTGTCTCTTACATACATGATGATCCTTCATGCCGCAGATGTTGACGTGTGTTGATTGTGTTTCTCCAGGTTTCAGAAGATGCCCAATGGCTCTCTGATCATTAGTAACGTGACCACTGAGGACACGGGTGTGTACACCTGCATCGCAGGAAACACCTGCAACATCAGAGACACGGCTGCGCAGCTCTATGTCGTGGGTGAGGAACATTTTAACCTGATTGTTGTGTTTTTTAAAAAGTAAAGCAGATTTTAGTTTGACAAGTCAATGTGTTCATGTACACACACAGATCATAGAGCGAGTTTGTTATTTCATTTCATATTTCACTTTTATTTTTATAGTGCTTTATCCAATACACAGGGTTTCTGTGGGTCTTAAAAGGGTAATAAAATCTTAATTCGTCCTTCCACAAATGAAGGCCTTAGAATGTCTTAAATTAGACCAGAAAGTCTTACATTCATAAAGCTGGCATTAAATGTTGGATAGACTGCATAAAATGAATTTCATCCTCATTTTTTAAATTTTGTTTTCAGTTCAAATATCTATCAGAGATATTTGTTCTTTGTTTTAATCATAAACTCACTTCATTTGAATCAATTTATCATAAAACAAGACTATTAGATGATCATCTTTAAGATTTTATTACTTATTCAGATATTTAAAAATATAACTTCTGAAGGATTTAGGTCAGTATTTAAGAGGTTTAGGCGGTTTAAATGAAGTTCAGTGTGATGTTACACTGATGTTTTGAACGGATCAAATGCCTCTGAAGTGCTTATAAACTCTGATACACTCTCCAGTGACACACATTCGTTATCAGTGTGTTACATTGTTGCCTAGCAACTGTAAAAAGCTACAGTTACACTGTAAACTACTAGTTCTGAACTGTTTATTTTGATGAATTGCAATGTGTAACAGTTTACTGAATGGCCTGCAGTGATTTTGCTGTGGTGTTTTTTGTGATGTGTCAGACTGATGTGTTCTGTCTCTGTTCTCAGAGAAGCCTGTGCACCCGCGCAGTGAAGATGAGGATAAGAGTCAGTTTAAGATGTTCCAGACGATCGCGCTGTCGGTGGCCGTGGCCGTGGCGTACATCATCGCTGTGCTGGGACTGATGTTCTACTGCAAACAGAGACGCAAGAGCAAACGGCTGCAGAAGAACCGTGCCGGAGAAGAGCCCGAGATGGAGTGTCTGAACGGTAGAGTACAACGGGGCTAAAGTGCCTAAAATGTATAATTGCAGAAAAAATATATACGTTTGTATTGAACATTAATGGAGCCACAGATTTTGTGTGAAAATAAATCATACAAGTTGTTTGTTTAAAAATCTTATAAATGTATGCGGTGGCACACAGTATTGATACAAATACTTCAGCTAAAATAATGTTTTTTTAATAATGTCTTGTTCAAAACCATCACTTTAGCCAAGTTTGTACTATTTTCTGCTTATTTTGAAAAATAAAAGAATTATTGTTTTGTTCATTAAATACACTATCATTAAAATACGTTCATATAAAAATAAATTTTAAAATACAAAATCAAAATCATTTTAAAAAGTAAAGATTCTGAAAGCATTGAGGGAGATCCAATAATAATTGAATATAGATTTACAGTAGTAACAACAAATGAAATTTTATTATATATGATTAATATCATGTTCTTAAATATGATGGTTTCATTCTAAACATGGTGATTATCTCTAATATGGACTCTCAACATAATATATGATATTAACCATCTGAATCGAACCATGTCAACAAATGGAAAAATCAGCCTTCTGTTAATTATCATGTTAATTACTGTGCGCCTTTAGCCCCAACAGCAGGGGCGCTTTTTACCCCAAACACCATACTTTTACATATTCTTTCGTTATTTAAAAACTGTTGCTCTAATTATCTTAAGAAGACCTTTGTCTCGAAATATATGCATTAATTTTAGCGATTCTCGCTTGCTACTTAAATCTACAACATTTTAAAAAACATCAAATATTAGATCAAATAAGCACAGAATCAACTTTGCGCTGCTGCGATGCGTCAAGGATCAGACAAATATACAGGTGCATCTTGAAAAGCGGATGTTTTGGAAAGTGCTACGCCACGGTTTTGTGCCATCTAGTGGTTTAGAGGGAAATATGATCAAAGGCGCCTTTAGCCCCGTTGTACCCTACTGTCACATGATTAATATCAGACTTATCAATCAGCTGCTATCTGCCTGTTTGAGATGTTCAGCATCAGCTGACGGATCACTCGGTCTCTGATATGTAGTGCTTGTTCAACCTTGTCATTTCTAATACTTGTTCTGTTTTCTCATGTTATTTAGAGATGTTTGCGAAGAGTGTGTGTGTGTTTCCTGTAGGTGGCGCTGTTCAGCTGAACGGCCACAGGATGTCTGAGATCCATGAAGAAGTGGCTCTAAGCAGCATGAGACCTTCAGCAGACTCAGAGAAACAGCAGAGCTGCGGTGACAAGCTGCACTTTCCCAGAGCGCACCTGCAGACCATCACCTCACTGGGTAATGAATCAGCAAAACAGAACCAAACTCACTTCAGTTCACTTTTACAGTAATAATCATTTAAAAGATTTTACATTATGATGATATTTGCTTCTAGATTTAGGATATTACTTAAAGAAATCACATCATATTCATTTATTAAAGGGATGAAATGAAAATGTGCTCATCCGAGATCAGGATGAGTTTGTTTCTTCATCAGATTTGGACAAATGTAGCATTGCATCAGTGTCTCAGCAATGGATGCTCTGCAGTGAATGGGTGCCGTCAGAATGAGAGTCCAAACAGCTGATAAAAACATCACAATAATCCACAAGTAATCCACAGCACTCCAGTCCATCAGTTAACATCTGGAGAAGACAAAAGCTGAAACAAATCCAGCATTAAGACGTTTTTAACTAAAATACATTGAGTCCATAATCCATAATAACGCTTCCTCCAGTGAAAAAGTGCATCTAAGAAACAAACACGTGTGTGTGTCTCTGTGTGTGTGTGTGTGTGTGTGTGTGTGCAGGTCGTGGTGTGTTCGGCGAGGTGTTTCTGGCTAAAGCGAGGGCGATAGAGGTGGCCGAGCCGGAGACGCTGGTGCTGGTCAAGAGTTTAGAGAGCCGAGAGGAAACGCACCGAACCGAGTTCAGACGAGAGCTGGAGATGTTCAGCAAACTCAATCACGCTCACGTCGTACGACTGCTGGGAATCTGCAGAGAAACCCAACCTCATTACATGATCCTGGAATACGTGGATCTGGTACTAAACACATTCAAGTCCTTTATTAATTCCATGCAGCAGTCACTCTTATGTTCGGCTTATGTACACACAGAACACACATTTCATGAGTGCTAATTCTCTTTCACTTAATTAGCAGTATGAATATTCCCAGAGCGCACCTGCAGACCATCACCTCACTGGGTAATGAATCAGCAAAACAGAACCAAACTCACTTCAGTTCACTTTTACAGTAATAATCATTTAAAAGATTTTACATTATGATGATATTTGCTTCTAGATTTAGGATATTACTTAAAGAAATCACATCATATTCATTTATTAAAGGGATGAAATGAAAATGTGCTCATCCGAGATCAGGATGAGTTTGTTTCTTCATCAGATTTGGACAAATGTAGCATTGCATCAGTGTCTCAGCAATGGATGCTCTGCAGTGAATGGGTGCCCGTGGATCTGGTACTAAACACATTCAAGTCCTTTATTAATTCCATGCAGCAGTCACTCTTATGTTCGGCTTGTGTACACACAGAACACACATTTCATGAGTGCTAATTCTCTTTCACTTAATTAGCAGTATGAATAATCTAAGTCAGCATACACACCGTTTCTGTTTGAATGTATCAATCCTGCACACTTCTTAACCCTTGTGCTGCTGAAAAACCTTTTCCTAATCCTGTGTTTCCAATCAAAAATGACCAGCCTACAAAAACTCCTCGTGAATCTCTCATTATGCTATATTTTCACCAAATCTTGGATTCATTCTTTTTGTCAAATTGTTTCAATCGGCACAGGTTTTGTGTTTCTTCTTGGAACTGATTGATCGCAGGCCTCAGTGATCCTCAGTTTTTGAGTGAACACTGACAAAATTATCCACAAATAATGCTTTTTTCAGTCAAAAGCTGAGGAGCGTCAGCTCAGATCAGTGAGGATCATTTGGTAATAATATAGAATAATGAAACATTTATAATCAGTTTTTATAGGCAGGTCTTTTTTTTTAAGTTTAACAAAGTGGGGGAAAAATCCACAAAAACTAGCATTTTCAGGAAAAAGAAAATCGTCTCTGCGTCAAAATGTCCAGAACATTAAGGTTAAACCTGAATCATCACAAATTTTACTTTAATCAATCCACCCCTCCTCAGGGGAGTTTTTCATGTTTGTGTTGGACTTTTATCTGATGCACATGCGCATGATGACTTTCTGTATGTTTGAATGTGAGTTCATATCTGTTTATGATGTAGTTAAGTGTGTCCGTGTTAATAGTGAAGAAGTCGTGCTGATGAGTGATTTCTCTGTTTTTTCAGGGCGATCTCAAACAGTTCCTCAGGATATCAAAAAGCAGCGATGAGAAACTCCAGCCGTATCCCATCAGCACTAGAACTAAAGTGGGTTCCTCCTGTGACTGAGCATCTCTGCGTCTCTGAGTGTGTTTAATAGCTTGTGTGACTGTGTTGTTCACGGTGCTCCGCAGGTCTCCATCTGTGCTCAGGTGGCTCATGGGATGCAGCATTTATCAAACAGGGGTTTTGTGCATAAAGACCTGGCGGCCAGGAACTGTCTGATCAGCGGACAGAGACACGTGAAGGTGTCTGCGCTCAGTCTCAGTAAAGACGTCTATCTCAGGTACCAGCTCCTTCAGTCTATTTTAGGATCTTTAAAGCGCTGTGAGATCCGCTGCAGAGGTTGTATTTGTTGCATTGATGTATGGTTTGTTAGGATAGGACAATATTTGAAAATCTGGAATCTGAGGGTGCAAAAAAATCTAAATATTGAGAAAATCATCTTTAAAGTTGTTCAAATGAAGTTCTTAGCAATGCATATTACTAATCAAAAATTAAGTTTTGATATATTTACGGTAGGAAATGTACAAAATATCTTCATGGAACATGATCTTTACTTAATATCCTAATGATTTTTGGCATAAAAGAGAAATGTATAATTGTGACCCATACAATGTATTGTTGGCTATTGCTACAAATATACCCCAGCGACTTAACACTGCTTTTGTGCTGCAGGGACACATATACTAGGACTGAATCCAAAAATTTAAGAGTTGTCTTTGATTCAGATTTTAACTTTAAAGCTCATTTACGTAATATTACCAAAACTGCATTCTATCATCTGAAGAACATTGCCAAAATAAGACTGAGCAATACTGAAAAATGAATGCATGCATTTATAACTAGCAGGCTTGACTATTGTAGTGCCCTGCTTTCAGGTCTACCAAAGAATACAATTAATCAACTACAACTAATACAAAATACTGCTGTTGGAACATTGACAAACGGCAGAAAGAGAGATCATATTACACCTGAATTAAAGTCATTACACTGGTTACCTGTTAGTTTTGCTATTGATTTTAAAAATATTTTATTAGTTTATAAGGACTTGCTCCAGACTATCTTTCTAAAATGCTTATAGAATACGAACCCAGAAGGACTCTCAGGTCTTCAGATTATTTTCTTCTAACTGTACCTTATAGTAGAACTAAAATATTTATTTCTATTTTGCATTTGGTGTATTCTATTGTTTTTGTATTTGATTCCTTCTTGCATGTTGAACTGCATTAACTTGTTTGGAAAAGTGCTATATAAATAAACATTTGCTTGCTTGCGTGCAGAGCGCCATCTAGTGTTGATGAAGCTCAGTCACACATGCTGATGTGTGTGTGTGTGTGTGTGTGTGTGTTTGTGTGTGTGTTTCTCTGTGTGTGTGTGTGTGGCTCTGTGTGTGTGCCTGTGTGTGCCTGTGTGTGTGTGCGCCTGTGTGTGTGTGCGTGTGTGTGGCTCTGTCAGGCAGGTGTGGATCCCGCTGCGCTGGCTGCCGGCTGAGAGTGTGTTTGAGGGTGAGTTCTGCAGGAAGGCAGACGTCTGGGCGTTCGGGGTGCTGATGTGGGAGGTGTTCAGTCTGGGCGAGCTGCCGTACCCTGCGCTCAATGACCACCAGGTGCTGGAAGGTGAGCAGACGTGACTTCCTCAGCTGTGTGATCGAGAGAGTCTGTGTCCATCATCAATCCTGTCAATGCATATTGATCATATTCATATCGATCATGTCGAGTAAGGACTAAGTGTTTGTATTTACAGGGTTAAGCGGGTCCTTCAAAATCTTAAATTCTGTTTTATCAAATGAAAGGCCATAAAAGTCACCATAAAATCAAAATGGACAATTTGTATTTTTTATGGCATATCGCAGTGTTTATTTTAAGATTTATCCATGCACACCATTCATTTTTTAAGTTCATGTGTCCTCGTATGAATGACTTTAAATATCTTAAATGGAACAAAAGTCTTATTATCATTTTAAGAGGTCTTACATTTTGGGCTGGAAGAACAGGAAGTGTGAAATGACTTAATGTGATTATTAATCTTTAAAAGGCAATGAATTAAATAAATGTGAGCGCTGCATGTGTGAAGTCAAACGTGGCGCTGTTGTACATTCTGGAGGATTGCCGTTTCAGAGCCGTTCACAATTAATGAATGCTGCACATTTATGACTAAACAATTGCTTATGATCGACTGTTGATGAATTATGACAGTGTTTACTTCATGGTGTTTATATTGTACAATAAGTAAGTAAAGCGCAGACATTTTAAAATAACAGTCCTGGTGTATTTTGGACTTATACTTTATAATTAAAAGCCCCCCATTATACATTTCATCTTTTTTTTTGGCTATTATTGGCGTTTTGGTCACACAATAAACTGTATTTGACGTTTAATTTGATGTAGAGGAAGACTAAGACCATTATTTAACACATTTAAATTTAGAGATTTAACTAGTATCGGCGCATATCATTGTATCAGGAAAATCCATTATCAATCATCCTCTAATTAATATGTATTAATATATTAGTACATGAAACAATTTCAATACATATGTAAATATTGAATGAGACATTGAGTATTTTACCCTGTTTTGCAGTTGAATGTGAAACACAGTCTGTTTAATGACGTAAAACAATACTTGATTTATTTTGATTTATTTGACCTGATTTATTTATTTGTGCAGGTCTTAAATTTGATTTTAATAACTGCAGAAACCCTTCAGAGTTTGAAGATGATCATCATAGATCATCATAGTGTCTAATGTGTCTCTCTGTGTCTCATGTATGTCTCTGTGTCTCATGTATGTCTCTGTGTCTCATGTGTGTCTCTGTCTCGTGTGTCTCATGTATGTCTGTGTATCATGTCTATCTCTTTGTGTCTGTGTCTCGTGTGTCTCTCTGTGTCTCATGTGTATCTTGTGTGTCTCTGTGTCTCATGTGTCTGTCTCATTTGTGTCTCATGTGTTTCTCTGTGTCTCTCTGTCTCATGTGTGTCTGTGTCTCGTGTGTCTCTGTCTGTCTGTGTCATGTGTCTCGTGTGTCTCGTGTGTGTCTCTCTGTGTCTCATGTGTATCTCGTGTGTCTCATGTGTGTCTCATGTGTTTCTCTGTGTGTCTCTCTGTCTCATGTGTGTCTCACGTGTGTCTCTGTGTCTCATGTGTCTCTGTCTCATGTGTGTCTCTCTGTCTCTTTTTCATGTGTGTCTCGTGTGTCTCATGTGTCTCTGTCTCGTGTGTGTCTCATGTGTGTCTCTCTGTTTCTCATGTGTGACTCGTGTGTCTCTCTGTGTCTCATGTGTCTCTGTCTCGTGTGTGTCTCTGTGTCTCATGTGTTTCTCTGTGTCTCATGTAGGTCTCTCTCTGTGTCGTGTGTCTGTGTCTCGTGTGGCTCTGTCTCATGTGTGTCTCATGTGTGTCTCTTTGTCTCATGTGTCTCTGTCTCGTGTGTGGCTCATGTGTGTCTCTCTGTGTCTCATGTGTCTCTCTGTCTCTCTTTCATGTGTGTCTCGTGTGTCTCATTTGTCTGTCTCGTGTGTGTCTCATGTGTGTCTCTGTGTCTCATGTGTCTCATGTGTGTCCCGTGTGTTTCATGTGTCTCTCTGTGTCTCATGTGTCTCTCTGTCTCGTATCTTGTGTGTCTCATGTGTGTCTCTGTGTCTCATGTGTGTTTCTGTGTGTCATGTGTCTCTTTGTCTCTCTGTTTCATGTGTCTCTGTGTCGTGTGTCTCTTTGTCTCATGTGTGTCTCATGTGTGTCTCTCTGTTTCTCACGTGTGTCTCATGTGTCTCTGTGTCATGTGTCTCTGTCTCATGTGTGTCTCATGTGTCTCTCTGTGTCTCTCTTTCATGTGTGTCTCATGTGTCTCTGTCTCGTGTGTGTCTCATGTGTGTCTGTCTCATGTGTCTCTCTGTGTCTCATGTGTGTCACGTGTGTTTTATGTGTCTCATGTGTCTCTGTCTCATGTGTCTCTCTGTGTCTCATGTGTCTCTGTGTATCTCTGTCTCGTGTCTTGTGTGTCTCATGTGTGTCTCTGTGTCTCATGTGTGTCTCTGTGTGTCGTGTGTCTCTTTGTCTCTCTGTGTCTCATGTGTGTCTCTGTGTCTCGTGTCTCTGTGTGTCGTGTTTCTCTTTGCCTCTCTGTGTCTCGTGTGTCTCTTTCTCATGTGTGTATCTCTCTGTGTCTCATGTGTGTCATGTGTCTCATGTGTGTCTTATGCGTGTCTCTCTGTGTCTCAGGTCTCCAGGCAGGTACTCTGCGTTTGTCTCCTCCAGTGAACTGTCCTGCTCACGTCTGCAGTCTGATGAGCCGCTGCTGGGCGTCCAGCCCTAAAGAACGGCTCACGTTCAGCGAGATCCTTCAGATTCTGACTGATTCCCCCGCAGACACCAAAGTCTAGAGGATCACGACTGCAATCAGAGACTCAATCACACACATTTCAGACGTGAGAGTCTGCTTCGAGACTCGCTCAGGATCAAACACGCTTCTGTCCCATTAATGATCTGTTTACGCTTCTGTAGAAGCTCCTTCCTCTCGCTGGAGCCTCAGGGACCCCGAGGATGACCTTTGACCTCTGCAGCGCAGGACAATCGCAGATCCATCAGGTTACAGACACAGGAGGAGGTACTGCACACACATGATGCTGGAATCCCGTCATGCCTGCGGCTCTCGTCACGCACTGGAATCAGCAGTGCATACAGTCGAGTGTGTGTGTATGAGTGTGTGTGCGTGCGAGTGTGTGTGTGTGTGTGCGAGTGTGTGCGCGCGTGTGCTCGTGTATGTGTGTGTACTTGTTTATGCTACAATGTGGGGACAAAATATCTGGAAAGTCCCCACAATTCACAGAAACAAATATGTGCATGTGTGTGTGTGCGTGTGTGTGTGTGTGTGTGCATGTGTGTGTGTGCGTGTGTGTGTGTGTGCATGTGTGTGTGTGCGTGCGCGTTTTCACAGGATGATGTGTCACGAAACACATCATTAGTGGAGTTCAGTCACTTGTATGTGGGAAACAGAGATTAATGATGAAGTTAGAGATTGACATACAAAGCTATAATATGATAACAAATTCACTAATTAACCTGTGTGTGTGTGTGATGACAGAGATTGTTGTTCTCTGAGGTGCTCACAGGTGACTGTGTTATTGTAATAAATAAATATGCAACGCCTCAGACAGCGAACATTTCTAAGCCATGATCAATCACATATTATTGTAATTCCCAGTTCACTGTCCGTCTCTGCAAAATCCTTCTGGATTGTTTTTCTCAAACACACCTGACAAACTTAGATGATACGCAGATTACACTTCAAACTTAAGGTGTCATGTTGATGTGTTGTGATTAGATCAGTGGTTCTCAACCAGGTCCTGTGGGGGTGTCTCAAAAACATTATTTAATAAGACAAAACAAGCATTAAAACAGCTAAAAAATCAAGCTGTTTTTATTTAAATTCACCGCTTTAACAACTGTTTTTTTTCCTTTTCTTTTAAGAACCAGTAAGGAAAACCTAGTTTTACCAGGCTAAAAAAAAACGTAATCCTGATCCAGTGGATCACAAATGACTGGAAAAGTCAGATAAATTAATTGGTTTAAAACAGGAGGAACCCTGAGGAACATTCAGCTCCTAAAACTTTTGGAATCGTGAAATTGAATGCACAGAAACCAGGAGTGTCCATAGATGAAAATAAATAGATAAATAACTTTTGCATTACAGCAGATATTATTGTGACTGTAGTCATGAAGGTTGAGAAGCGCTGATGCATGACGTCGGTTGAGGACTGTGTGAGTTTATGATGAAGGTTTTGTGTCTCTGTGATTTTAACGCGGCCAGTGTTGTTTTCATTCAGACTCCTGCAGCAGAAACACATCCTGCACTGTTTTCATCAGGTGAACAAAAAGTGCAAAAAGTAAAAGTGCCTAGAACATGAAGGACTTATTTGCTGTTTTTTTTTACGGTATCTTTTGTAATGCAGTTAATGCTTGTTGTTTTTAAGAACTGCTTTTATATAATCTTTTCATATGTATTTTTATTATTATTATTATTGTTGTTGTTATTTGTTTTTAATCCCTGTGATCAGCGTCACTGTCTGTTCATGGTTATTTTTAAGGCAGGCTCTCACACCTTGATGCTTTTATATCTGCTTTATAAAGGTCACAGTAATCCAGATGTAATGCTGCTCTCATTAAACAGTCACGTTTTTAACAGCCTCGCTGCATCTGTGCTCCATAACATCAACTGTTTGAACAATCTTTTCTGTTTCTCCGTGTATAATTGGTCAAATGAAGCCCCAAAAACTAAATGGTAAAACTTTAGTATTTAATGATGATAATATTCATGTGCCATGCTTTTTTCATGTTAATTTAATGATAATCATAGAATACTATAGTAAATCTCACAAAATACTTTTCCAGTAGAGGACAGAGTTCAGATGACTTGCATTACTTGTCAGATTTCACAGCTGATTATAATCACTTTTGGTCTGAGATGTTTTGGTGTAGTTTGGCTGCTGTGTGTGAATGCTCTGTTCTTTAACCTGTACAGCTTCATACTGCTGCCCATCAGATGCACCATAAATGGCCTCCATCACTTTTCCCTGCTGATGTGCCTGAGTCATGAGCGTGTGTGTGTATGTGTGTGTGTGTGTGAGTGAGTGTGTGTGTGTGTGTGTGTGTGTGTGAGAGAGAGTGTGTGTGTGTGTGTGTGTGTGTGAGCGGAGCTTCTTTTGCAAATGATGTCCGTCATCAGAGAAGAGCTCAGGTGCGTCTGTGTCACTCATGATGCTCTTCATACGGATTATGATCTCTCTCAAATGCTGCTTTTTCTTCATGCTTGCCTCCTATTTTCATAAAAAGTACTTGTTGTTCTGACACTTGGTTACATGCAAATGCTGTGTTCATTTTGATTTGTGTGCAACCTAAACATGAAAACAGTTGATTCTCGCTCTTCCAAAGCTTCTCCGGTGGTTTTTAGCAGCATTTCAGTTCAGTGAACAACTCTTTATCAAAGTCATTTTAATCTGCGTGAAATGAAATGTTGAAATGAGGTTCTGGAGATCCGTGGCCTCTGAACAACCAGCACAGAGAAGCTCTGATGTGTGTCACGACTGAACACAAAACACTCTTCATTCTGTCCTTAGAACATTCCTGCGGATGAAGAATACTTGGATATGAAGCGTTTGATTCAAGTATTGTAATGAAATGTTCAGCTCCCTCTCTCACATCTGAGTCTGAGGCTTTTATAACCGTGTCTATGGGAACTACATTTGTGCTGTAGTGCCGTGAAATTACATAAATGCTTGTTGCAGTGGAATGGAATGATTGTTTGGTTTGTTTATTTGTGTTTATTTGAGTATGTGGTTTTATTAATATTTGTATTAATACTAACTAATAGTATTATGAAAGTTTAATAATGCAGTTTTAATCATGTATTTTTCGTAGTCCTCAGCACACTTACATAAATCACGTTAATAACCTTACTATTGTTGTTATTAATATCCCGCATCTATTAATACGCGAAGCTCCTCCCTCTAGTGTGACGTGTGAGGTGAGCGCAACCGTTTTGGTATTTATGCAAATGAGATGTCGCTTTAGCCAACCGCGCTGCAGGCCGTCCCCGCGCGAGCCAATCGCTGCACTCGACTGTGACTCGCCATATAAGGAGCGAGAACTCCAAAAAAGGAAACAGCCTATCTCTTTATATGGAGGAAAGTAGATCGGCCGTGTATAGATCCCTCCGCGCTGGCGTTGCGAAGCGTCACATAAACGCGGCGATTGACAGCTGTCAGCGGCCGGACGCGGAGTTGAGGCGTTCGCGGCGCGATAATGGAGAAGAGCGCTGATTTGACGCGTTCGCGGCGCACTAGATGACGCGGCGGAGGGATCGCGGAAGCGCTCGTGCGGTTTTCCTTTTAGAGAAAGCGCGTCTTTCGCGGAGCTCCAGGGGGAGGTGAAGCGGGAGTGAAGCCGGCTGGAGGCGCTACGGTTCAGCATCACTTCTCAAAGTTTCTCGCGGACTCTGCTGCTGTATGAGCGCCGCTTCGGATCTCGCTCTCTCACCGACTGTCGCTCCAGCGCTCCGCCGCCATACGGATCGTTTTCTCCGGTTTCTAGGATGTTATCCAGCCAGAGCGCCGCGGCTCTGAGTGGAAGCGGATCAGCGGCGGGGAAGAGCGCAGGCCACGGCGCGGTGGTGATGGGCGCCGGGGTCCGCGCGGGGTTCGCTCGGGGGCTGGGGCCGATGGGGCTCGGGATCCCAGGGAGGTTCGAGCCGGATAAAGAGGGACCCCCGCACCTGTGCAGCGGCTCCGACGCGGACTCTGACTCCGGCGATGAGGACGAGCTCATGGGGTCAGTCGGGGACAACCGGAGGGGAGGCGGCGTCAAGCGGGAGAGAGCGGAGATGGAAGCCGCGATAGTGGGACCTGAGGCCGGCTTGCCCTCCGCGGCGCTCGCGGGTGGAGCGGCCGGAGCGAAACCAGGCAAGAAGACCCGCGGCAGAGTGAAGATAAAGATGGAGTTTATAGACAACAAACTGCGACGGTACACGACCTTCAGCAAGAGGAAGACGGGCATCATGAAGAAGGTGAGAAACTATCATGAAGAACTAGCAGATCATTCAAACAGATACTAAAGTGATGTTAAAGGTCATGGCTGGTTACTGAAAGTTTGTAGGTTCGAGTCCTGCTAGAGAACTGCATAACTGAATAGCATAAGTAGTTATAGAAAGGTTAAATACAAAGTGCATCAAGAAGTAAAATACATGAGAAAATACATAAACTTCTCTCCACCGGCGATAGGAAGGAAGGTAATTAACATCAGTTGTTTCTCCTGGAGCAAAGACTTTTGAATGCAAAGAGCCAAAAATCTAACTTGATTGAGGGCAGTGTACAAAATTAAATGTTGCATTATAATCAGTTATGTTATATTAAAATGTATAAAATTTCTAACATTTAAAAAAATAATGATCAATTAAATAATATATTATAAATCAACAATTAAAAAAATCTAATTCACTTGTATTGTTTTTAAAATGTCAATGTAAAAATAAAACAAAAATGAAAGAAAGGAACAAAGATGCTTAAATGGCATTTTCTTACTTTTTGTAAGAAATTAATGTTTGTTTAATACATTTATTTATTTTCTGTAATTAATTATTTTAATTAATACAATTTATTTATTTATTTTCTGTAATTAATTATTTTAATTAATATATTTTTATTGTATTTATTTATTTATTTATTTTCTGTAATTAATTATTTTAATTAATATATTTTTATTGTATTTATTTATTTACTGTAATTAATTATTTTAATTAATATATTTTTATTGTATTTATTTATTTATTTATTTATTTATTTGATATCGCGATAACAGTTGCAGTCAAAGTGAATCAAAGTCAGATGAGGTTTAGGACACTCATTACAGGTCCATTTAAAATATATGCATACAGTATACTGTAAAGCTGTTTAATGTTTTACTCTTTTTTTTATTATTAAAACTGAAAATTGATTGATTGATTGATTGATTGATTGAGGGAAAATAAAATTGCAAATTTTTTTTTTTATAAAAATTGCTATTCAAAATGTGACAGAGATCCAGTTTTGCTGTGCTTGTTTGTAGGGTTGCACAATTTGGCCAAAAATATTAGTTATAAATGACTATAAAATATTGACAATAATAGTAATGTAGAAATAAATAAATAA